ATATTCGTCTTTGGTGATCTCTCCCTGTTTCCACTTTTTATGTGCTCCCCTTTTGGCCCTTAGGCTGCCCTGGATTTCTCTGGTCAGCCAGGGAAGCCTCCTGCCCCTTTCCCTCTTTTACCCCGCACGGGGATCGTCTCGCTTTGTGCCCGAAGGATCATTTCCTTAAGGCACAGCCACCCTTCTTGGGCTCCCATCTCTTCAAAACTCCTACTCTGCAGTGCGTCCTTGACTAATCGCCTGAGTTCGTTGAAATCAGCTTTCCTAAAGTCTAGCACTTTCACCCCACTAGTTACCTTACCCACTCGACGTCTTATGGTGAATTCTGTTATTTGGTGATCACTGTCCCCCAGGTGACCACTTGTAATAAGGATTAGGAGTTATGTAACAGGGGGCCTGCCCACCCACCTGTTTCTGGGCTAACTGCCCACCTTCTCGCCTGCCATGCCTTGTTGGAATTCATTAGTTAATGATGTAATTAAGCGGGAGGCTGCCCATTTCCCACCCTGATGCCAAGGGGCACTATCTGTGGCTCCGTACCTCCCCTACACCACAGCCCAAGCCTTGTAGATGGTATTTGAAAATTCCTCTGTATGTCAGGGTCTAGGCCGCTGTGGGCCTACCCCTTTTTTCTCTCTAGCTAGACCTGTCAGTCAAAAAAACCAAAAACCCGCTAATCAGGGCTTGACTCCCAGGCTCTAGCTCTCAAAAAAAACCCTCACTCGGGACTTTCCAGGGCTGCAAGGGCAGGTCCTCTTTTGTTTTTATTTTTGTGTTTTCATATCAGCAAACAGCAGCAAAAGTTACAGGTTACTATTAAAGTCCACGTGATACCACATCGGACGAGAGGCCATGTCAATCCGTGGGGGTCTCTGGGAAAAGGAATCTGGGGGCAACAGGGATGTGCTGGGTTCCTGTCTGAAACCTCTGGGTTGTTCTTGCGAGCCATAGAGATATTTGCACACTTGGCACTGCTCGTGTTGTGTGGCACCACAGCTGAGTATTGTTGCCCAAGGGCTTGCCTGAGGTTGAGCTAACCAATTGGGTAGGCATGCCACAAAGTAGCCCTGCACCCTTCCCATGTGCCACTCTCATCCCTTTCCCCTCACCAGATCTGCTGCTCTGCTTTCTGCTCCCTGCCCCATCTCTCTCACACATTGCCTGTACTGGTTGTGGCATACATGGGCTAGACTGGCCAGCCCTAAACTCGTGTGGACAGAGGGGAGATCCATCAGGGAATGGTTTCAGTGGTGACCCCACCAATGCTGCTACGATGACCCCAGGGACGGACCACAGTCATGCAAGAGTTTCCCTGTTCCCTGCTCCGCTGAGAGTTATCTCAAGGGCTTGGCAGGCAACCTATAAAACCTGAAATGCAGAAGCCTGTGGGTGGGGGCTGAAATTTGCCTTTACTATGGGGACAGACGGACAGCAGCAAGGAGTCCTGCATGCTTTCTGCTGTATGTCGCCCCCTGCTCCAATAAACCAGTCTATGGATTGGAGGAAATTGCTTTAGCTCATCTTGTCCTTCTCCAGGTACAATAGCCAAGGCCTTGAACAACCATCCTGGGTGTAACAGGGACAAGGCAGGAAAAGCTGTGGCCACGAGGGCCCCACTGAGCCAAACTGGGTGCCAGAGAGGCTAGAAAGTGAATGCATCTGCTTCTAGGACAGTAAAGCCACAAAGCATTGGCCCTGATTTATTCAGCATCTAATTACACTTGATCACAGCTTAGTACATTTGCCATTTCACAGTGGAAGACAGAAGCGCCGGCAGGGAAGAAGGGCTGGGAGCAGACAGGACACAAACCGGGCCCCGGCTCCTCTGGAAATGCCCAGCAAGCAGAGTAGGAGCACCGGGCTCTCCCCAGCCTCCCGTCACCCGCTCTCCCAGCACAGCCCTTTTGTAGACAAGTCTCCTCCGCCGGAGCTAGATCAGGCCGTCACTGTCTCCCTCCCGTGCTGCAGCTCCCGGGCTCCTGGCTGCAGCCAGTTGGACTGTGGCAGCAGCAAGGTTGAAGGCCCCGGGCTGTGCCCCTGCAGAGCTTTGAGGCAAGCAGCCAGGGTCTGATCTGGCCCAGGAGCGGCTGTCCCCACCACCCCTGGCCTTCTGGTCTCCTTGTAGTGCAAGTCCCGTGTTGGCAAAGTGTATCCTAAGCTGGCCCTGGGGAAGAAGGAGCACCGCCACCCTTAAATCACTGAATTCTTGCCCCGTGATGCCTCTCCTGCCACCCTCCCAAATGTCCTTATTGGTTTGTCTCATCCTCTGCCCCCGCAGAGAACGCCCCTGAGTGTAAGAGGTGGCGGCCAGGGCCCCGCTGGCCCCGGCGCCGGTCACTTCCTGGCGATGGCGTAGTTCGCGGTGAACCAGTCGCAGGTTTCCTTCACCGCTGCAAGGGAAGGGAAGAGAAAGGTTGTCAGAGGGGCCGTGGCACCCAGCCCACAGCAAAGCCCTTGAGCCAGTGCTGCAGCAATACTAGGCGCTCTGCGCCGCACGGGGACCCGGAGCGGGGGCGTTAACTGCAGCCCTGCACAGCCGTGGGGCACGGGTGATCTCCAGGGACCGTGGCTGAGTGCTAGGGGATGGACACAAGGACACGGAGCAACTGCGGGGTCTCAGCGCCTGGCTCCTCCAAACCCACCTGCTGCCTCCCCTGGGCAGCGCCCTGCACACCCCATGGCACTGCTGCCCTACCTGGGTGTGCTGCCCGCTGCGGGGGCTGCATCAGGGCTGGGGTTCAGCCCCCATTAAAGAGAGAAAAGCTTCCCCAGAGCCTCCACGGGCAGAGGTGGGATCAGATACACCCACGACTGATGCTGGGGAGGAGCAGCACCGCAGAGCCTCCCTTTGCCCACTGCGGCCAGTCCTCACCTTGCCGGAAGGGCGTGAAGCGGAAGCCAGGCAGGTACCGCCTCAGCTTGCTGTTGCTGGCTGTTTTCTTGAACTGCCCGTCCGACTTC